TAGGAAAGTAATTTCTGCAATATCACTGAAAGGTGATAATAAATGCCAGTCTCTCTGGCTAGGGAGGAGTGTTCTCATCCCTCACAGCTCAGGGAACATGGTCACCAGAGGAAGCCAAGCTCCCCATCAACATCTTGGACCTCAGAGTTGCCTCTGTTTGTAGCCAGTACCAAGAATTGTTTAGTACTGGATACTTTAGTACCCTGAACTCAATTCTGGATAATCTATGCCTTTCCTTTAGTGTGAACTTCGACTGCTCAACAAAATAAAGCAAGAGAAAAAGCCAGTCATTCTCACTGCAACAAACAGGTCTAGAAGACCCTGGTACACAAACATACTTAGATTGCTAGGAGATAACCTCTGGCCTATTTCAAACAGTCCAGGCCTGCTCTCTCAGGGCCCCTCTCCCTAGCTTTAATGGTATGGCTGTTGAAGCCTGGGTCTTGAGAGGCACAAGGGTCTCTAAATCTGTCATTCTTATTATGATAAAAGAAAATTTAAAAAAAGCCACTTCCAGAAAGATCTGTTATTGTATCTAGAGATCCTTTTTTGCCTGGTGTGAGCACAGGCACTTCAAAGCTAGTGGACCATTCATTATTCTTCACAAATACAAGATAGTCTTGCACCCAAGACCCTTCTTTCTTCCTAAAATGGTGTCAGTCTTCCACCTTAATGAAGACATAGTCCTTTCCTTTTTGTGCTCTACTTCTTAGCACCCAAAGGAAATTGCATTTCCCTGCCTGGACATGTTCAGAGCCATCAGAGCCTACCTCAAAGCTTCTATCAGGAAGACAGGTGTCCATTTGTCCTACCCTCAGTACCTTGCAAAGGACATCCTGCTTTCATATCCACCTTTGCTGGTTTTTGAACTTATCTCAAGAGCATATACTTTAAAAAGACAAGGCACCTCCTGTGCAGTTACAGTTAGTTCCATATATATATTTGGACACAGGCACAATTTTAGTTTTTTTTCAGGTATTTACCGAAACATATTCAAGGTATAATGGATAAGGGCTGAAAGTGCACTCTCTCAGGTTTAATTTGCGGGTATGTACATCCACATTGGAGGAAGGGTTTAGGAATTACAGCTCTTAAGAGTAGCCCCCCCCTTTTTCAAGGGACCAAAAGTAATTGGACAATTGAATATAATCATAAATAAAATGTTAATTTTTAATATTTTGTTGAGAATCCTTTACTGGCAATGACTGCCTGAAGTCTGGAACCCATGGACATTACCAAAGACTGGGTTTCTTCCTTTCTGATGCTTTGGCAGGCTCTAACTGCAGCTGTCTTCAGTTGTTCTTTGTTTGTGGGTCTTTCTGCCTTTAGTTTTGCCTTCAGCAAGTGAAATGCATGCTCAATTGGGTTGAGATCAGGTGATTGCCTCGCCCATTGCAGAATATTCCACTTCTTTTTCTTCAAAAGCTCCTGGGTTGCTTTTGCAGTGTGTTTTGGATCATTGTCCATCTATACTATAAAGCGCCGTCTAATCAACTTTGCTGCATTTGGCTAAAATGCGCTTGGGGATGGACTCGATGCAGGCTACAACCACATAAGGAATGTCCTGGAACATGCACACCTTGCTGCCCTCAAATGGACCAGGGAAATCCAAATATACTGAATGAGGAAAGAAAAAAACAGAGGGCGCACAGGCCTAGTGCATTACCATAAAAAATGTTTAATAAAAAATAAAGTATGTGTTGTACTCACAAACGACAATATAGTCAAGGCACATCATAAAGAACAGCTGGGTCAACACCGCGCTGAGTAACAGTCCGCAATAGGGAGTATAGACATCCAAAAGGCTGACGCGTTTCGAGGACTTGCCTCTTCCTCAGAGCCAACTGACCAAATGTCTGCTCCCTCTTTTATATGCTCACTACTAGTTAAACCAAAGGTCACATGGGCCATCCTGGACACTCCCCTGTGCAGGTGGAGGAGTCACAGGGGCAATTGACATAGTGTAAGTAAACACGAAAGGTCTATAAAAATATATATAAATATATATGTGTATAAATAAAACCATTGAAACTAGTGACAATCATAAAATCATATGAACCATAAGAAGTGTGCACAGTGAAAAATAAATAAGTGGAAAGTTACACATATATATATAAAATAAAATAAAAAATCCTTCCCTGGTGATGCACTGCACTGCTCGCCTTTAAATAAATGGATGGATGGATGAGCAACGCTACGAAGCTGCCTAGTGCTCTGCTTGCCATAGACTACAGGGTGTGTGCTTATCATTCTAGTATAGTCATATGATGAAACGTAGGCATGTGTGGCAATGCAGTGCACCATGGATGGATATGCATATGCGATACTATATACAAGAACAAAGGAGATAAATCACTAGTAAAACATAAATGTTGATATAGAACGTTACAAAAAACTTCTTAATATGGTTCACAAAGTTTAAATAAAATAAAATGAAATAAGTATTGTTACAATATAGTATAATATCTGGTAAAATTGGTATAGTGTATGGTATATGTGTGTATGCATAAACATGGAAGAATAAGAAATATAAAAAATATATCGGAAATTAAAAAAAAAAAATAATAATAAAAAAAATTAAAATTAAAAATTAATAATTATATAAAAATGTATAAAAGATGTATATGTGTGTTATATATAAGAATTATATAAAAATGTCAAAGGTGTTATGGAACAAACACTTGCAGGATGAGAAAGCAGTGCTCGAAGAGAGCTCACTGGACAACATGCGTGCACACATGTGTGTGTAACACGTTCACATGAGCAACTGCTTTTTAGTAAAAAAACATGTATATACATACATACATAAACCACACACACATATGGAAACTGAATGAAAAAATGGTGTGACCAATGAATGACCCATAGACACAAGCGCATGGGAATGCGGTCATACGCATGCGCCTAAGGCTGACACAATAAATATGAAGTGAGCAACCTAATGTGTAAGGATGCAGGATAATGGTAGCTATACTGATTATACTATAATAATCATAGCTGATGAAAATGAATATATCTAAAGCATACATCTATAGTGGATGGTGTACCCACTATAGGTCACAAGGGAAATGATGGAACTAGCACTAAAGAGGGGGGGGAAGAGAAAAAAAAGGAGGGGAGGGGGTTTGGGAGAGAGACAAAAAGGATGAGAGTAGGACTCTAGGGAACATGTGCAGCTCAGCAAAAGGTACCTATGCATAATGGGGGGTCAGTGGATGACCCCATGTATCTCAAGATCTTCATTAAGCCCAGTGGGTGAGAGGGAACCCAGAGTGAAGATCCAATAGGTCTCCCTCTTACATAGTCTCTGGAATTTTCTTCCACCATCTGAATCTCCTGTGATGGATTCAATCCCAAATACTTTCATGCCTGATGGATCACCACTGTGTGCCTCCCGAAAGTGCCATGGTACGGAATATTTGTATTTGCCTTTATTGCTCTCCTTGTAATTAATGATGTTACATTTGTGTTCGCCAAACCTGACCCTCAAGGGACGCATGGTTCGGCCAACATATAGGAGGCCACAGGGTCAGATGAGCCCATAGATCACAAAAGAAGTACCACAGTTGATGAACTGCTTAATCTTATATGTACGGCCATTGGTGCCAGCCACCTCTTTCTTTCTGTGGCACATGTATTTGCAGTTTCCACAATTGCTCACACCGCATTTGAAACTGCCCCTTTGATCAAACAGGGCAGACCAAGGATTGACCGTATTACTGGCACCAGCAAGAGGCTTCTTAATTCTACTGGGTACTATGTGACTCCTGAGATCCCTAGGTTTCCTGAACACAATTTCGGGTCTGGGGGCAAGGCTCTGACCAAGGACTGGGTCCTGCTTAAGAATTTTCCAATGCTTTTGAATGCTTCGCTGTATGTCGAAGGCTTTAGTATTGAACCTGGTGCAAAACCTGACCTGGTTATTAAATCTATTGTTGGGGTCTTTAGTGGCTTTCTTGGCAGCTGTGTGTGGTATATGCAGTGGACTCTCTTCATATTGGCCACAATACTTCTGGTATGCTTCCTCGATGTGGACCTCACTGTAGCCTTTTTCAAGGAACTTGGTCCTCAAGATGGCGCTCTGTTCCTCATAATCACCTCTGGTGGTGCATGTTCTCCTTAACCTGCAGTACTGACCAAAAGGGACATTACGGATCCATTTGGGGTGGTGATGGCTACTAGCGTGCAAGTAAGAATTGCCTGCGCTAGGCTTAAAATGCGTTTTAGAGCAGATGTTGCCATCAGAGTCTGTCCGTAATTCAAGATCTAGGAATACCAGACTGTTGGCATCCACCACATGTGTGAAGCCGATTCCAAAGGGGTTATTTTGGCAGTGTTCAAGAAACCCATCCAGATCCTCGTCTGACCCTTGCCAGATGATTAAGATATCGTCTATATATCTGGCGTACAGGGCCAGATTGCCCCGATATGGGTTGTTGTTCCATATTGATTCCTCTTCCCAATACCCTATGAAGAGGTTGTCATAGCTAGGGGCAAATCTAGCTCCCATAGCCGTGCCTCTAATTTTTCTGTAGAAGTTCCCTTGAAAGGAGAAGTAATTATGTGTGAGGGTATAATGGATGGCTTTTTGTAGGAAAGCTGCTTGAATGGGAGGTATGTCACTATTGTCCAAAAAGTGTGTTTGATGGCAAACATGCCATATTGATGTTCGATGGATGTGTAAAGCGAAGTGACATCCAAGGATAACCATTTATATTCTGGACACCACTTCGAGGAAGATAGGATCTCCAACATATGCCCAGAGTCTCGGACGTTGGATGGTAGACTCACGACTAGTTCTTGGGAGAAATAATCAATGTAGCATCCCAAATTGCTGGAGATGCTATCAATGCCAGCTATGATGGGTAGAGATGACCAAAGTATTCAAAAATTCGATTCGGCTGATTCGGCGAATTTGCGGAATAACTTCGATTCGAGTCGAATATATTCGCTGCGAATTTAACTTATAAAAAGGGGTGTTTCTAGGCTTCAGAGAGCCTTTATATTAGTGCAGAACACTGTACCTTTAATTTAAATGCCCTTGGAGTCTGCTGGGGAAGAGAAATAATACTGTCAGTCAGTATGACATGCAGATGAGTGCCGTCGATCTTAGAATCACCGCACACTTCACTCATTTGGGCAGTCACGGGGCCAAAACCAGAGTGTGGAGCCACAGTGTGGCGGTGGAGGCAGCAGCAATGGGAGGCCATACAGCACCCTATGACAAAATGGAACCCACCAGCAGTGTGAGGAGACCTGAAAGTGGCACATGGCAGAGTGTGGCGATGGAGACAGCAGCAATGGGAGGCCGTACAGGGACCCATGACACACTCTGGACCTGGCAGCAGCATGAGGAGGCGGTACAGGGGCCCATGGCAGATTACGGGCCTGGCAGCAGCAATGGGAGGCCCGTAATCTGCCAGCACCCTATGACAAAATGGAACCCAGCAGTGTGAGGAGACCTGAAAGTGGCACATGGCAGAGTGTGGCGATGGAGACAGCAGCAATGGGAGGCCGTACAGGGACCCATGACAGATTACGGGCCTGGCAGCAGCATGAGGAGGCGGTACAGGGGCCCATGGCAGATTACGGGCCTGGCAGCAGCAATGGGAGGCCCGTAATCTGCCAGCACCCTATGACAAAATAGAACCCACCAGCAGTGTGAGGAGACCTGAAAGTGGCACATGGCAGAGTGTGGCGATGGAGACAGCAGCAATGGGAGGCCATACAGGGACCCATGACAGATTACAGGCCTGGCAGCAGCATGAGGAGGCGGTACAGGGGCCCATGACAGATTACGGGCCTGGCAGCAGCAATGGGAGGCCCGTAATCTGCCAGCACCCTATGACAAAATGGAACCCACCAGCAGTGTGAGGAGACCTGAAAGTGGCACATGGCAGAGTGTGGCGATGGAGACAGCAGCAATGGGAGGCCGTACAGGGACCCATGAGACACTCTGGACCTGGCAGCAGCATGAGGAGGCGGTACGGGGGCCCATGACAGATTACGGGCCTGGCAGCAGCATGAGGAGTCGGTACGGGGGCCCATGGCAGATTACGGGCCTGGCAGCAGCAATGGAGGCCCGTAATCTGCCAGCACCCTATGACAAAATGGAACCCACCAGCAGTGTGAGGAGACCTGAAAGTGGCACATGGCAGAGTGTGGCGATGGAGACAGCAGCAATGGGAGGCCGTACAGGGACCCATGAGATACTCTGGACCTGGCAGCAGCATGAGGAGGCGGTACGGGGGCCCATGGCAGATTACGGGCCTGGCAGCAGCAATGGGAGGCCCGTAATCTGCCAGCACCCTATGACAAAATGGAACCCACCAGCAGTGTGAGGAGACCTGAAAGTGGCACATGGCAGAGTGTGGCGATGGAGACAGCAGCAATGGGAGGCCGTACAGGGACCCATGAGACACTCTGAGAACTGGACCTGGCAGCAGCATGAGGAGGCGGGTACGGGGGCCCATGGCAGATTACGGGCCTGGCAGCAGCAATGGGAGGCCCGTAATCTGCCAGCACCCTATGACAAAATGGAACCCACCAGCAGTGTGAGGAGACCTGAAAGTGGCACATGGCAGAGTGTGGCAATGGAGACAGCAGCAATGGGAGGCCGTACAGGGACCCATGAGACACTCTGGACCTGGCAGCAGCATGAGGAGGCGGTACAGGGGCCCATGACAGATTACGGGCCTGGCAGCAGCAGCATGAGGAGTCGGTACGAGGGCCCATGGCAGATTACGGGCCTGGCAGCAGCAATGGGAGGCCCGTAATCTGCCAGCACCCTATGACAAAATGGAACCCACCAGCAGTGTTGAGGAGACCTGAAAGTGGCACATGGCAGAGTGTGGCGATGGAGACAGCAGCAATGGGAGGCCGTACAGGGACCCATGAGACACTCTGGACCTGGCAGCAGCATGAGGAGGCGGTACGGGGGCCCATGACAGATTACGGGCCTGGCAGCAGCAATGGGAGGCCCGTAATCTGCCAGCACCCTATGACAAAATGGAACCCACCAGCAGTGTGAGGAGACCTGAAAGTGGCACATGGCAGAGTGTGGCGATGGAGACAGCAGCAATGGGAGGCCGTACAGGGACCCATGAGACACTCTGGACCTGGCAGCAGCATGAGGAGGCGGTACGGGGGCCCATGGCAGATTACGGGCCTGGCAGCAGCAATGGGAGGCCCGTAATCTGCCAGCACCCTATGACAAAATGGAACCCACCAGCAGTGTGAGGAGACCTGAAAGTGGCACATGGCAGAGTGTGGCGATGGAGACAGCAGCAATGGGAGGCCATACAGGGACCCATGAGACACTCTGGACCTGGCAGCAGCATGAGGAGGGCGGTACAGGGGCCCATGACAGATTACGGGCCTGGCAGCAGCATGAGGAGTCGGTACGGGGGCCCATGGCAGATTACGGGCCTGGCAGCAGCAATGGGAGGCCCGTAATCTGCCAGCACCCTATGACAAAATGGAACCCACCAGCAGTGTGAGGAGACCTGAAAGTGGCACATGGCAGAGTGTGGCGATGGAGACAGCAGCAATGGGAGGCCGTACAGGGACCCATGAGACACTCTGGACCTGGCAGCAGCATGAGGAGGCGGTACGGGGGCCCATGGCAGATTACGGGCCTGGCAGCAGCAATGGGAGGCCCGTAATCTGCCAGCACCCTATGACAAAATGGAACCCACCAGCAGTGTGAGGAGACCTGAAAGTGGCACATGGCAGAGTGTGGCGATGGAGACAGCAGCAATGGGAGGCCGTACAGGGACCCATGAGACACTCTGGACCTGGCAGTAGCATGAGGAGGCGGTACAGGGACCCATGACACACTACTGGACCTGGCAGCAGCATGAGGAGGCGGTACGGGGCCCATGGCAGATTACGGGGCCTCAGCAGCAATGGGAGGCCCGTAATCTGCCAGCACCCTATGACAAAATGGAACCCACCAGCAGTGTGAGGAGACCTGAAAGTGGCACATGGCAGAGTGTGGCGATGGAGACAGCAGCAATGGGAGGCCGTACAGGGACCCATGACACACTCTGGACCTGGCAGCAGCATGAGGAGGCGGTACAGGGGCCCATGACAGATTACGGGCCTTGGCAGCAGCAATGGGAGGCCCGTAATCTGCCAGCACCCTATGACAAAATGGAACCACACCCACCAGCAGTGTGAGGAGACCTGAAAGTGGCACATGGCAGAGTGTGGCGATGGAGACAGCAGCAATGGGAGGCCGTACAGGGACCCATGAGACACTCTGGACCTGGCAGCAGCATGAGGAGGCGGTACAGGGACCCATGACAGATTCTGGACCTGGCAGCAGCATGAGGAGGCGGTACAGGGGCCCATGACAGATTACGGGCCTGGCAGCAGCAATGGGAGGCCCGTAATCTGCCAGCACCCTATGACAAAATGGAACCAACCAGCAGTGTGAGGAGACCTGAAAGTGGCACATGGCAGAGTGTGGCAATGGAGACAGCAGCAATGGGAGGCCGTACAGGGACCCATGACACACTCTGGACCTGGCAGCAGCATGAGGAGAGGCGGTACAGGGGCCCATGACAGATTACGGGCCCTGGCAGCAGCAATGGGAGGCCCGTAATCTGCCAGCACCCTATGACAAAATGGAACCCACCAGCAGTGTGAGGAGACCTGAAAGTGGCACATGGCAGATTGTGGCGATGGAGACAGCAGCAATGGGAGGCCGTACAGGGACCCATGACACACTCTGGACCTGGCAGCAGCATTCTGTGGCGGTACAGGGGCCCATGACAGATTACGGGCCTGGCAGCAGCAATGGGAGGCCCGTAATCTGCCAGCACCCTATGACAAAATGGAACCCACCAGCAGTGTGAGGAGACCCTGAAAGTGGCACATGGCAGAGTGTGGCGATGGAGACAGCAGCAATGGGAGGCCGTACAGGGACCCATGACACACTCTGGACCTGGCAGCATGCATGAGGAGGCGGTACATTCTGTGCCCATGACAGATTACGGGCCTGGCAGCAGCATGAGGAGTCGGTACGGGGCCCCTGAGGCAGATTACGGTCCCTGGCAGATGACGACGAGGTGCCAAGTGCGAACAATGCCAAGTGCCCTCAGTAACAATTCTGTGTCCCTCAGTAACAATTCTGTGTCCCTCAGTAACAATTCTGTGTCCCTCAGTAACAATTCTGTATGTCCCTGAGTAACAATTCTGTGTCCCTGAGTAACAATTCTGTGTCCCTCAGTAACAATTCTGTGTCCCTGAGTAACAATTCTGTGTTCCTGAGTAACAATTATGTGTCCCTCAGTAACAATTCTGTGTCCCTGAGTAACAATTCTGTGTCCCTCAGTAACAATTCTGTGTCTGTCCCTGAGTAACAATTCTGTGTCCCTCAGTAACAATTCTGTGTCCCTCAGTAACAATTCTGTGTCTGTCCCTGAGTAACAATTCTGTGTCCTCTGAGTAACAATTCTGTGTCCCTGAGTAACAATTCTGTGTCCCTCAGTAACAATTCTGTGTCCCTCAGTAACAATTCTGTGTCCCTCAGTAACAATTCTGTGTCTGTCCCTGAGTAACAATTCTGTGTCCCCTGAGTAACAATTCTGTGTCCCCCAGTAAACAATTCTGTGTCTGTCCCTGAGTAACAATTCTGTGTCCCTGAGTAACAATTCTGTGTCCCTCAGTAACAATTCTGTGTCCCTCAGTAACAATTCTGTGTCCCTCAGTAACAATTCTGTGTCTGTCCCTGAGTAACAATTCTGTGTCCCTGAGTAACAATTCTGTGTCCCTGAGTAACAATTCTGTGTCCCTCAGTAACAATTCTGTGTCCCTCAGTAACAATTCTGTGTCCCTCAGTAACAATTCTGTGTCTGTCCCTGAGTAACAATTCTGTGTCCCTGAGTAACAAAACAATTCTGTGTCCCTGAGTAACAATTCTGTGTCCCTGAGTAACAATTCTGTGTCCCTCAGTAACAATTCTGTGTCCCTCAGTAACAATTCTGTGTCCCTCAGTAACAAATCTGTGTCCCTCAGTAACAATTCTGTGTCCCTCAGTAACAATTCTGTGTCTGTCCCTGAGTAACAATTCTGTGTCCCTGAGTAACAATTCTGTGTCCCTCAGTAACAATTCTGTGTCCCTCAGTAACAATTCTGTGTCTGTCCCTGAGTAACAATTCTGTGTCCCTGATTAACAATTCTGTGTCCTGAGTAACGATTCTGTGTCCCTAAGTAACGATTCTGTGTCCCTAAGTAACGATTCTGTGGCCCTAAAGTCTCTCTGGCCCTAACTCTGTCCCTAATACAGACAGGTCTGTCTCTCTTGAATGACCGCAGGCTAATGGAGAATTGTAAGATGGCCGCAATTTATAGCTCCACCATTACACAGTGCTGGCTGGCTGGCTGCTGATTGGCTAATGCGATCACATGTCATGAATGAATGCATTATGGGTCAGCAACGCCTTGTCTGCGCGCCTTCCCAGAGATCCCCGCTCCGTCGCCACACATGTCGCCGCCATTTTTGGGAAAATTCGATTCGTGCATCCGAAGTTGGCTAATTTTCGGATTCGGCGCGAATCGAATATTTCCCAATATTCGAAACGAATTCCACTTCGCCATGTTCGATTCGCTCATCTCTAATGATGGGTCTACCAGGGGGATTAGTCCGGTCTTTGTGAATCTTTGGTATATGGTAAAAATAAGGGGTCACTGGGTGTTGTTTGAGCAGGAATTGATATTCATTGTTTGATAGTATTTTATTGGTCAGAGCCTCATCCAGCAACCCTTTTGAAGCTTTGTATTCCGGTAGGGGGTCTCTGCGGAGCTGTTCGTAGGTGTATCAAGGTTACAATCTCCTATCAGTCTAAAGGCTTCCAAAAGATATACATCTTTGTCCTGGATGACCAGACCCACCCCCTTTGTCAGCTTGTCTTATGTGCAGTGCATCACCAGGGAAGGATTTTTTATTTTATTTTATATATATATGTGTAACTTTCCACTTATTTATTTTTCACTGTGCACACTTCTTATGGTTCATATGATTTTATGATTGTCACTAGTTTCAATGGTTTTATTTATACACATATATATTTATATATATTTTTATAGACCTTTCGTGTTTACTTACACTATGTCAATTGCCCCTGTGACTCCTCCACCTGCACAGGGGAGTGTCCAGGATGGCCCATGTGACCTTTGGTTTAACTAGTAGTGAGCATATATAAAAGAGGGAGCAGAGACATTTTGTCAGTTGGCTCTGAGGAAGAGGCAAGTCCTCGAAACGCGTCAGCCTTTTGGATGTCTATACTCCCTATTGCGGACTGTTACTCAGCGCGGTGTTGACCCAGCTTTTCTTTATGATGTGCCTTGACTATATTGTCATTTGTGAGTACAACACATACTTTATTTTTTATTAAACATTTTTTATGGTAATGCACTAGGCCTGTGCACCCTCTCTTTGTTCTTTCCTCATACAGTATGTTTTTTTCTTTCCTCATACAGTATATATGGACCTAACTGTATGTGCTCACTGTACAAGATTGGTGGGCATTTCCTGGGCATTCTGACATTTTTTTATGCAGGATTTACTATTTTACATTATTATACAGGAAATCAAGCCTCTGTTGCCCAGCTTTGTAAGGCTGTCACCTGGTCTTCTGTTCATACCTTTTCGAAGTTCTACTAGGTGGGTGTCCAAACTTCTGTGGATCAGATTTCAGTAGCAAGGTTCTTGCAGTGAAATTCTGAACCTGGGTCTTTGCCCTTGTCGATTTTGGGCCAGTTGAAACTATATTGTTTGCTTAGTTGATGCCCACTCTTCTTATTCATTTTGGGAATGTCCCAGGGTCTAGGAATATTAATTAGCCTCTGTCCTGCACTATTTGATTGAGATAAAAGGAATTTTACCTGTAAATTTCATATTTGGGAGTCCAGTACAGGACCCAGGACACCCTCCCTTCTAAGTGTTATTCTGCATTGCTTGTTTCAACCCTGAGGACTCACAGAGTAGGGTTATTGGGGGAAATGTATCCTTCAAAGCTTTGTGTACAATCACCTAAATATACCAACCTGTAACTCAGGATCCATGAATATTTTGACTGTGTTCTGTACTGTACTTCAAGATGTGGAATTTACAGGTACATATTTTTGTAACTGTGCAATTGTAAATGGCTGGGGGAATCTGGATGGATGCCACTAACAGCACTAACAGCACTGTGACTTGCATGTCACAAGACTCCACAATACATTACAGTTACTGGGACAGACACCCAAAAGTAAGTTGATTTTGTATCACACTACCTTGCACAATAATGTTCAGCCAGGGAGTTCCCTTTTTAAAAAATTTTGTACAACATACAACAGTACTAACCGTACCACTGACCAATCATAGTGATCACATTATAAACTTGTAAACAAAACTGTCATGAATAGCAGCCATTAATGACAGTTTGTTTACTATTGTGATTGGTCAAAGTTATTACATAGTACAAGGCCATTCACAGGAGGACGTTCAGCTTTTGCACCGTCGGGTGCTGTGCTCGCAAACTGTTGTCTCTTGGAAACGGATTCCAAGAAAGACTGCTGACGGAATCCGTGAAGAGGAGTAGCAGGAGAAGGAGCATCTGAACGAGCGGAAGATGCCAACAAGCGACAACTCCCCTCAGCAGAGGTGTTGGAGCCTTGACTGGCTGATAGAGGGCGATTGACGTCGGGTGACGGAGCAAGTAACGGAGCGGGTGATGGAGCGGGGGCTGGGGCGGGCAGAACCGCCGTATCTTTATCACGGTTTTCCCAGGCCACCAAATGGCGACGCTGCATATGCTGCCGCAACGCTGTAGTCCCAACATGGGCCCCCTGGCCACGCTTGACTTTCTGGCCACATAGTCGACATACGGCTACGTTTACTTCCTCGGGCGGCTTGACAAAAAATTGCCACACCGCCGAGTAGGAAACTTTGCCCCCGATACTCCTCACTGGCTGACTGCTGCTTCCTCCGTGCACACCGCACCACTACTGGCCGTGGTGGTAGACTGCAGTGGAGCTGGTGCTGTACTCCGTGGCCGTTTGCCTCCACTGACACTGCTGCGACCCTGCTGCCTCCTGGGCAACCCACCGACTGTTTTGCTCGCTGCCAAGCTGCCACCCTCTTCTCCTGATGATGCGGAAGCAATCGCCTGATGACGAGGCTGCCAAGTGCGATCAGCCTCATCATCATCAATTAGGGTCTCCGCTTCACTACTAGCCCCCTCGGCTGCGTGTGGGTCAGGAGACAGACCTGTCTCTAGACCGGCTACCGAGCCACTCTCCTCGCCAGTACTTCTTCGCCTGGCTGCTGAAGAGGCGGATGTCTCCCCCCGTTCCTGACCGCCCTCTGTTTAGCTCTTCCTCACTGTACAGTGGGGCTGAGCCCACAGCATGCGATACTTCGCTTGGTGAGGGAACACCAAAGGACAGGGGCAGGTAGAGGACACGTGATTTCAGTGGGCTTGCTCCCGGGCCATGCCAACTAACGGTTGTGTCTGACGTACCCACCGACCGTTGGCTGTAGGTGTCAGAG